ATTTCAAGACGGCTAACACAGTAGATGTGAAATACTTTTACTACAAAAAAATAGGCATGCAAAGGGACAGGCTTGTTAATGAGCTTGATTTAATCCTTCCACAATGTCAGCACGCATTGTGCCCCATACGTATACACGATTACCGTTTATCAAGTATAATATGAAAAAAACCCTGATGATCAATTGTGAATGAAAGAAGAAAAGTTTGGAGAGTTGTACACAGAATCTCTTACATACTTTGAAGGGGAGTTTTCCTTATTTTTTTCTACCACGGATGAGCCATATTGCTTTTATAACAAGAAAAGGAAACGCAAGAATCATGGATACTGACGCCTTTCGCCTTTGCATTGGGCAGTTCAGTTGCCGCCGGTGTGGGCGGGGCTGGGGGAGTTGGTCGGAGTTTCTCATGAAGCTGTGCGTCTTTGTCTTTGACGTAAGACGTGGAGGGCACTTTGGTTCACCTCCTTTGGCTGAGCGGGTGGGGTGGGCCAGCCTGGCTGAAAGAGCGGAATCCAGACTCAGGCACGCAGCCGCCGTCTGCGCTGGAGTTGCAGGAAGCAGGCCGGCGGGGAGGCTCTTGCCCCGATCACTTACGTGCTGCAGGATTGTGGACGGTTACCCAGCCCCTTTGTCACCCGAGAAAGGGCAGTGTTGCTCTCCTGGGGCACTGTGTTAGCGCTGTGCCTTCATGTGTTCAGAACATGCAGAAGAGCCTTCACCTGGACAGATGCAGAATTTTCCTTGGGATGAGGCGAGATGGTGCCATTTATGAGTTATTTACCGGGAGCGCGGTGGGGAATTTAAATCACAGACCACTTGATTGTCCTCAGATCTGATTTCCAAGTAGCTGGGCTGGCAAGGGGCAGAGTAAATGTACCGTGCCCCCACACCTGCAGCTTACTCGCTGGGTTCCCTGTGATGGGAAGGTGCATTTGGGGGAGTCGCGTCAGGCCACTGCAGGGTCCTCCCACTCATACACGGAGCTTCTTGGGGTGTGCACTGGAAGCACCCCTTCTTCCTGGAATCTGTCAGGCGCCTGGAAAATGCACAAAGCAGAAGCCCTTTGCCTTCCCCTTGGCTGCAGGAAACACAGCCCCTTTGGCCTTAGAGGGTGCCCAAGCTCTGCATCACAGCGGGTGTGTGGAGGTGACCTTGCTTGCCCAGGCCACCCAGCTGGAGAGGCCTGGGAGGACCACCCTGAAGCCTCATGACCAAAGTCTCACTTCAAGGGACAGCAGGGGTTGGGGATCTCAAGGTCAGATCGTGTCGTCTCAGGATATCAACTTCTGTCTGCCAAACCTCGATCTCACGCTGGGAGAAGCAAGTAAGTGACCCTGTGCTCCTCTTCTGAGACTTTCAGAGGGCTGGCAAGGATCTTCCAGGGTGAGGCTGGCCAGGCCAGGACTCTGGGCAGAGCCTGCCCCTTCTGGAGAGAGCAGGGCCGTGTTCTTACTGTGCAAGGTAGACACAGACACGTTCCCCTTTCTCATCTGTGAAATGGGTAGTAACTGACCTGTGCTACACGCACTTGTGTGATATGTGCAGATGGGGTGCCATGTTTAGCACCCAGGAGGCAGGTACCTTGAGTGGCTGCGTTAGTGTTGGTGACGTCTTCGTGGATGGCCATTGCAGTCCCAACATCCCTATTACTGTGAAATTTATGCTCGGGAGAGAGATGAGTCAAACAGCTAAACAAGGCAAATGCGATGGAAATGAAGTCAGACTTCCAGTGGTCTAAAAGCTGCACTTTCAGTTCTCCAGAAAAAAAGCTTTGCTTTATAGCATATACCTGAGTGACCAAAGTGGTATGAGCTGATTTTTAAAATTCTTAAACATTTAGCAGTTGGTTCTTGTGAAATTGGAAGAGCTGGCTGTGGGCCTGGGTGCATGTGAATCTTGTGGCCCAGGAAAAGACAGAAGACCTGAAAGCTAAATGCACAGTGGAAAAGTACCTCAGGCAGAGAGAACAGCATGTGCAAAGGTCCTGAGGTCAGGGTGCACTTGGAGCTTCAGTGAACAGAAAGGCTGATGCTGGCAGTAGCCTAGTAGGGTACAGAGAGGAGGCAGAGGCTGGGCTGTGGGGACCCTCAGTGACCAAGGTGCTTCCAAGTTTGGATTTTATTCTGTGGCCATAGTAAGCCTTTGGAGGGTTGTAAGTAGGGGGTATCAGGACCTGATTTGCATTTTTAAAGGATCATTGTGCTGCTCCAGCAAGAGGCAGGTTGGGCATTGCTCACCCAGGGAGGGGCGGTGGCAGCGTGGACCCATGTGCCAGCAGGGGAGGGGACAGAAGTGGCTGGACTCACACAGAGATATGGGGACACGACAGGTGTGTCTCCAGATGTCCCCTGGCCGTCTCCCATGTGTCCACCCAACACACCACTGCTGCTCTTCTGCCACGGAGGAAGCAGCAGCGTGGGCTGAGCACCTTCAGTCTGTCCTGTCTGTGTGTGTTCTTGACTCTGAACCCGTCTTCACCAACGCCAAGAAATCAGGAAGAGATGAGGAAATACATTTATCTCGAGTTCTAATACAGAGCAAAACCAACAAAAGCAACATTTCTTCACAATGCGACCCTCCTTCCTTTTGACTTTTACCTCTGAGAACTTACCTGATCTTCAGATAAGAGGCTTCTGCCTTGGGCTTTTATGTTCGCTCACGGCTGCCTCTTGGGTGGGTACCAGACACTTATGTAAATGTTGCGGGTGTCAGCCGTGCAAATTATGAGAAAGGCTGTCACCCCGCTCTGCTCCACTCCCAGCCTGTCTCTGTGTAATTGTTAGAAGGGGACACGCATTCTAGACTGCCCGTGTCCAGTAGAACTTCCTGCAGTGGGGAAATGTTCTGCATCTGTGCTGCCCGCTGTGGTAGCTGCTAATCAAAGTGGCTAGTGAGACTCAGAAACTTTCAGTTATAGTCTTGTTTAGCGTAGATGTATCACTCATGGCTCCTCTGTTGGACAGCGCCATTGTAGACCGTGTGTTCTCATCCGTCACTCTGGAACCTTTTGCTTTGTGGCAGGTGACAGGACATTCTACTGAGGTTTTGTAGAACTTCCAAGAAAGGAGGGATCTTACTTAACTTGTCATAGCCTCCCTCAATTTGCAAAGGAAAGAGTGCAGGCAAAGAAGGGTCAAATAATTGGCCTAGTATTTCTTCTGCTGGTGAGTGGCAGGAATTTATCAAATTTTTGACTTGACCTTCTTTTGGCTTTTTAAACTATATATATAGTATATGACACATATACTATATATGCTATGTATGATATACTATATATATAGTGCAGTATATACTATATATATTATATGACGTATACTATATATCTCAACTCATTAAAGTTCCCCATTTTCCTGGAGTATGTGCTTCTTTTACCATGGTGTGTAAAGTCAAAGTCCTCTGACCACCTTCTCAGTCTGGAACTCATCCATCATCCTGAGGAGTGGTCATGGTGTGGCTCGTTTGTTTTTTTTTTTGGTGCCAGGGATCGAACTCAGAACCTTGTGCTTGCCAGGCAGGCGCGTATGCCACTGAGCTATATCCCCGGCCTGGTGTGGCCAGTTTGAAGCATGTCCTTTTATACCTTTCCTTATGTATGAGTGGATGGGTGGAAAACATTCTGCATTGTTCCATAACGTGTAGGTTTTGACACATTTTCTCCCACAGAAATATGTGCTAGATCTTTCAGAGTGAGTTTATAGATCTCAAATAAATAAATAGATGGATGGATGGATGGATGAATGGTATATATCATTGGCTCTTCATTATTATGTCTATGTAGTAAAGTCCTGTATAAACTCGTGTACATACCTGTAAGGTACAATGTTTCTGCAGAGTGCAACCTGGTGGGTAGTTACCGGATCACAGAGTGTCTATTTTTAGATGTGTATATAATTTCATTAGAACTGTGGATCCCATACACTTTAAAATAGTTATGCCAGTTTTTATTTCTGTCAGCCGTAGACCACATTTTCCTCCTCAATGTCCAAAGCAGTTGGTATTATCAAGTGTTACACACGTGCCAATCTAACAGGTGAAACACGGCGACTTTTGGTTGTTTAATTTGGATTTCTCTGTTTGCAAGTTACACTGAACCTCCTCTGTGCTAATGGCCATTTTTTTCCCCCTGTAAACTGCCTGATCAAACATCCTGCCACTTTTCTGTTGCGTAGTTTTTATTAATTCATTCAACACATGTATCCTAGAATGCCTGCTGTGTGTCAAGCATTACTCTAGGCGCTAGGAACTTTTGTGGCAAGTGAAGACAAGTATCCCTGCTCTCAAAGAAGTGACAGCTTGTTTGTAGGGAAAAAACCAAGGCACAGGTATCAAGAAACTGCATAGTGCATTAATTTGGATTTTAAAAGGGATAAGGCGATGGGAAGATTCAGTAGAAGTGGGGCTTACTTTTGACTAGATAGCCAAGGGATTTTGTCTTTTACTTGTACGCATTCTTTGTGTATGCTGCATGCTAATTGTTTGCCTGTCACATGTTCTACTTATTTTTTCCATCTTTAATTATTTTAAAATTTAGATTGTTATAGTTTTTCCTTGATTTTTTTTTTTTTCTGTTTGAAATATAAAACTTTGCTAACTGGAATACTATCATGTGAAAAAGTGACAATTCTTTCTCCTTATCTCCCCAGGCGACTGTAGTTAAGAGCTGTGTGTTTTTCTTTCCAGGTCACTGTCTACCCTCACACTCGACAGCCCACCCTGTCCCCGTACACCTTCAGTCACCAGTTAGCCGGTTGCTGGCTATTTCTCCATAAACACAGTTCTGATCCGTGTTGCTTCTCATGGCTGCTTCGTATTTGTTGTAGAGGGATCTCTCTAATTTACCCAAGCACTGCCCCCGACTGGGCATCAAGCTTGCTTCCGCGTCTTTATTCTTCCAGACCATCGAGGAATCCCATCTTCTGCCGCCTAACAGCTCCTCTGATCTCATTTCATTGTCAGACTGGAGCCTTCACACCCTGCATATTTTGTTTCTCTTCCCCCAGCTCCACGGCTACATGGAAAACAAGCCTTTGGGGCTCCAGATCTTCATCGGAACAGCTGACGAGCGGATCCTTAAGCCCCACGCCTTCTACCAGGTGCACCGGATCACGGGGAAGACTGTCACCACCACCAGCTACGAGAAGATCGTAGGCAATACCAAAGTCCTGGAGATCCCCCTGGAGCCAAAGAACAACATGAGGGCAACGTAAGGGACGCGGCCGAGGGCAGCGGGTCTCTCGGGAAGTGAGCAGGGCCAAGGGGCGGGCTTTGGGAGACAGGGCTCTCTGGAGGACATAGGAGCCCCTCAAACTTCTCCCAAGAAAGTTTCTATTTTAAAAGGATCATATGCAAATATTTTCAGGTGTCTTGGGAAGGAGAATACTCACGCATCTTTGAATCACGTTTTCATATGAGGTTAAATTTATGTACATTTAAAAAATTGGTTTTACCTAAAGAAATGATTGAGTAAAGATGCAGAAGTCAAAGTCACGAGGCTCATGTACTCATGGCTAAAAGTTGGGAAACACTGCACACCTGTGTTGGAGTTAAAAAAAATATATTTTTATGGGAAAAGAAACTCTTAAGTTACAGAAAAGTTGCAAGAACATATGAATTCCTGAGTACCATTCACTTAGATTTACCAGTTGTTAATATTTTTCACATCTGCTTTACCACTTCTACTTTCCCTCCCGGAGACATTTGACAGCTACTTGCAGATATTCTGCCCTTTAACCTTCGGCCCCTCTGTGTGCAGTTCCTAAGACCAAAGGTATGCTCCCTTATACACCCGGGTGCATTTAGCACACCCGAGATTAAACTTGGTACACTATTCTTACTGACGGGGAAGAGCTCATCCATCACCCTGGTTGTAGTTATCACTGGTTACCTATCTGAGTTTTTCAGGTACTTTTGAGAGTAGAGGAGTTGGAATGAAAAATAACCCTAGAGAAGTGATTTCAGCTAGGGAATTTCTGGTTACTTTGTAAGTTTTTTTTTGGTTGCCATCCTGGTATACACTTCTGGCTGAAATACTTAAGGTGGGCTGGGGCCGGCTGTTGTTGTTTTGGTTGACTGCCGGGGCAGCTTTGTGGGTGACTGCTTCTGCTCAGCAAGCTGATCACTTACCAGTGGGGTTCTTGGTCTCCTGGCAGCATTGACTGTGCGGGGATCCTGAAGCTCCGGAACGCGGACATCGAGCTGCGCAAAGGCGAGACAGACATCGGCAGGAAGAACACCCGGGTGCGCTTGGTGTTCCGGGTGCACATCCCGGAGTCCAGCTCCCGCATCGTCTCCTTGCAGACGGCATCCAACCCCATCGAGTGCTGTAAGTGTGGCTCTGCGGCAGTCTTGTTTGGAAAGCGTCCTGCGTATAAGATTCTGCTCTGGGCGGGCTACCTGGCGGGGTACCCAGATGGCCTGCAAGACACACAGGACCTGCAAGGGAGGACAAATGGCTAGTTTGGCTGGAGGTTGTAGCTCAGGGGTATAGCACTTGCCCAGCATGCACCCTCGGATCCATCTCCAGCACACTCCCCGCTAAAAAACAAATACAGAGCACATGTTCTACGTCCCTCATTGGTAGAGGGCTTGCCTGCGTGTACAGGGTCCTGCATTCCATCCTCACGGGCAAAGCAAACAGAGCAGTTGATTCAAGATGATCGAAAGGGCCAGAGGCAGGGCACGTGTGCAGGTGTTATCTCTGCTTCTATTTACTTGTGGAAGGTTTTATGGCCTCGGGAAATTAAAAACCAGTATGGCTGATGGGCAGTAAGTAGTCTACAGGTCTGTTTGGAATATTTGAAGCATACAACTATTGTTCTGGTCTTTAAAAGGGCAGATGCATTTAGGGCGAGTTCACTGTTCGCAGCACCCTGTGCTGCTTTTCCTCCTCTCTCCTTTCAGCAAGAATAACGATAGTGTCACAGTGGCTCTTGATTGCAGAGCGTGGCCTCTGCCGGTCACTGGTGGCCTCGGCCTGGCTGGAGTTTTTCTGCCCATTTTATAGAGTGGCTGAGTAACCATGGGCACAATGAGAAGGAGGCAGGGCTGGGATTTGAACCTGAGCTTGGGCAGGCGGGAAGCACACTGCATCCACACCTTCCGCCCACCCAGGGGTGTTCCCTGGGATCTCTCTTGCGTCAGGGGCCGTGCTGGGTACTGGGCAGCCATGGAGGAACAAGATACTTCCCCTGTCCTCAGCAAGCTTAGAGGGTAGTGAGGGTAAGGATCCCACATAGTAGGTATAAGGTTGCAGAAGATTTTCAGAATCTGGTATAAAGTAGGCACTGAGCAAAACACCCAGCCCAGTCCTGCCAGGCTTCAGAAGTAGCTTTGAGCTTGGTTTTTGCTTCTTGTGTTTTGTTTTGTTTTGGAGACAGGAGCTCCCTATGTAGTTCAGGCTGACTTTGAACTCACTATGTAGTCCAGGCCGGTCTTGAACTCTAGGTAACACTCCTGCCTCAGCCTCCTGAGTGCTAGGATTACAGATGTGTGCCACCGCGCCGGGCTTGTTCTTAGGTACTTTTCAGAAGGGAAATAGTTATTATGTTTTGCAGCAAGACATGACAAAGCTTATTGTCTTGCTGCACTTTTGAAAGTTTAGAAATTATTTTCAAAAGCATAAAGAAGAAAAGTGTAAACATTGTTTCAGAAGCAGAAGCTGTTTATCTGGTTTTTTTAAGTCTAAGGATATTTTCATGCTGTTATAATCATGTTCCATGTTAAATTATGCCTGGGAGTTTTTTCTGTCTGTTTACTGGGTGTCACAGGCCTGGGAGATGCAGGGAAGGGAAGGAGCAGGGGGATGCTGGATATTTGGGAGGAGAGGAGATTGGAGACCAGTAAGGCACATTCCCCACGAGGTGGGCTGTGCTTACCGAGAGCAGCCAGTGTTTGCACATGAGAGTATGCGCTCAGTGTGGCTGAGTCTTCTGATTTTAAAGGATAATATCCCAAGAATTTTCTGATTTCTAAAAAATGGCAGCTGGCCTGGGAGTAGAGCTCAGGGGAAGAATAAGAGTTTTGCATGCACAAAGCCCAGGGTGCAGTCCCCCTGTACACACACACACACAAGGCAAGAAATTAAAAATATTCTGAGAGATCAGACGGTACCCACACCCAGCTGCTGTTAATCAGAGGTGGTCTTGAGCTACAGGAGAGCAAAAGGAAAGCACGGCTGTGTTACACAGAGAGGGTGGCATGAAACTGCCTCTCTGGGCGGAAGCCAGGGAGGAGAGAAGCCAGCTCCCTTTTTCGGGAGAGTAGCCAGAGTTTGGGCTTGGCTGATCTTTGGAAACAGAATGAAGGGGCCCCGGGTTCCTTCTGACATTTCAGGTTAAGATGCGGATCAGCTGAGTTGATGGTGAGTTTGCGCTCTGAGCTAGGAGGAAGAGGGACCCGGCAGCAGGGGACAAACAGAGATACGAAGAGCCGTGTCAGTGGAGGGACCCAGAATTCCCCTCTTCTGCTCAGCAGACCCCACCCTGCCCCCCAAATGCTGGTCACAGTGGCCGCCCCACCCCATCCTGGTTTCAAACACCTCAGGATGTTTTGGGGAGGAAACGCAGGCTCTTCCTCGGTGACTTGGGGGATTTTGAGCAGAGAGAGCCTCCCCTTTCTACTAAGTGACTCATGCCGCAGGCTGCCTGTAGCGAGCTGCAAGGCAGGAGGCCTGAGCAGGGCCTGTCTATCAGAGGCCTGCTCCCCCGTCTGGCTTCTTCAGGTCGCCTTAACCGACGTCAGTCTGAGACTTTCAGGATCACCGTTGAACCGCAGGGGCCTCCAGGGAGGAGGGTGTTAGAAAGTTGTATGAATCTTGAAAATCTGGGTTTTTTTCTTTTTTTCTATAAAAAGCATTTGGCTGATTCACCTACCTTGTTCTGACAGATAAAGAAACTGAGGCTTTCTTGGTGTAATGATTCATCCATTTTTACCGAGTAGGTGGCGAGCCAGCGTCTCCAGCTTTCTAGTTCTGCAAAATGCCTTCTCTTAGGTTCTGTGACACCCCGTCCCTCAGCTCACCCTGGGCCACTCTGCCCACCCAGAATCTTATCTTGTTATACCCTTCTTTGTTCCTTTTTCCCAAGACCAGTACCCCGTAGTTCCATAAGTATGTATTGCCTAACTGACCTACTGTATCATCTGTAGGGAGATACTCAACAAAGATTTATTGACAGTGAGTAACACAGAGTGTATAGAGTACATGTTCACTGACTGGCTTGTGTATATCTGCTGGGGCGGGGAGCAGGTAAGAAGAGCCCGGGGTGGGCGGGTGCTTATTTGCAAGGCTGACTTACTTTGGAAGTGCCTCTTACATACTGTTTTGGGAAACATGGGTGAGTTCTTGGAATCTAGTAAAAAGCCACAAACTCTCTTTGGAAAGCAGTATGAGTGCCTCGAAATGAGCTTCCTTCTATTCATCCGCACGCCAGCTGCTGGAGGCCCAGCCTCCCCTCTGCGGGTTGGCACCCGCGTTTCCGTCTGCTGCTTCCACTTGGGCTGCAGTGCTGCCCGGAGGGGCCCCGGCTTCCCCTCGTCCCCTCCCCTAGCCTCACTGAGACTTTGCTGAGCTTGGACAGCCCCTGCTCTTCCGCCACAGGCAGATAACGGCCCTCCCATAGCAGAGGTCAGAGGGAGCGCCCTTGTGTCCCCAAAGACAAGTTTCCATGTGGGTCATGTGGCGCCCTTCCCTCCTGCTGGCCCCTGCCCCGGAGGGTGGCCTGCCTCTCCTACCGTGATTGAGCCCTGCCCTTTCTCAGTTACCTAGACCTTGTTGGCCGGTTCCCATTGGTGGCTTAAAACCTTGAGGTGCTGTTTCCCCGGGAGCCAGAATCCTGGAGACAAGGGGCGCAGGGTTGGCTTCCTGGAGGCACTGAGAGGGAGACTGTGGGGTCTCTCAGGCTCCTGGGGTGCTGCTGGCTGTGGCTGTGTCCCTCTGATCTCTGTCTCTGTCTTCATGTGGCCCTCTTCTCTTCTCTGGGTCTCTGGGGGTCATTTTCAGTTGTTGTCATGGATACTCTCACTGGATTTAGCCCCTACCCTAATTTAGGGCATCTCTTCTCTGTGTTTACCTTAATGACATCTGTGAAGGCCTCAGTTCTAAACAAGGTGCATTCTGCGGTGACAGGTGGACGTAGTGGGGGTCTGCTGTTCAGCCCCTGCCCTCCTTGTCTGGTTCCTGACGTCCCTTCCCGTCGCCCTGTTTCTGCACACACTGGGGTCTTTCCCCCTGACTCCTGGCTTTGGCCCTTGCCGTCACCTCCGCCCAGGATGAAGGTTCTTCACCTCAGCTGTACCTTAGAGTCACCTGTGATTTATTAAAAAAAACCCAATGTCCAGGTCCAATGCCAGCAAGTCTGATTTGGTTTGTCTGGGCTGGGGCCTTGGCATGGAGACTTGCCAGGGGTCCTGATGAGTCCGAAGCAGGCCGGAGTTAGAGACCTGCTGGCCCCACTCCATCCTTCTATTGCTGGCTGACCCCTCTCCTTATTCAAGGCCCCATTTGTGTAGCTCCTTGGGGAGAAAGCGTCCCTGTCCTGTAGCGTGTGGGGTCCCTCCTTGTGTTCTGACAACCCAAGTTTCTTGTTAGTCTCTCTCCTGAGACGGCGGGACCAGCTGTCACCAGGTCCTTGTGCACAGTAACGGTCTCTAGGGGACCCCTGAGAAAGTGACAGGAAAACAAGCAGCACCACACCGCCTAGGTGGGGGAAGAGGCAGCGGTGGGACAGGAAGGAGGTGTCCCCAGGCGCCTGTACCCTGTCCCGTGAGAACCTTCCAGACCCGTGAGGCTTGCTGTAGCTCTACCCAGAGCCTGTAACTTTTCTCCCTGCATTGCCCTTCACAAAACACCTAGTGCAGTTTTACACCCATCCCCGCCTGCTTTTCACATCTGTGTTTACTGAGGTACAATTCGGACCGTGTAGACTGTGCAGATTGGAAGTGTTCAGCCAGCGCTCTCAGTTTTGCCAATTGCATGTGCAGTTGTCACTTGCAAATACGGGCTTCCTTTCATTCCTGTAGGTTCCCCGGGGTCCCTCCCACCAGTAGCTCCCCATAATTGCACAGAGGGGACCCCTGTCCTGATTTCCGTCACCACTGATGGGCGCTCCTCATCCTAGAATGGAATTAGAGAGTGCGGTGTTCCCATCGATTCTGCTGTTTCTTTTTTTTTTTGTGTGTGTGTGTGTGGTTTTTCTCCGGTACCAGGAACCGAACTCACGACCTTGCGCTTGCCGGGCAGGCACTTTGCCGCTGAGCTAAATCCCCAGCCCCTGGTCCTGCTGTTTCTGCTCAGTGTCTTGTTTTTGGGATCCATCACTGCTGCTG